CATTCCTGAAGAAAAATCATCTACATAAGGCATGTCATAGATTTCTAGAACTACTATACTTGGGACAATTGGAGCAGCTACACTACCAACACAAAGCACAAACAATGCCGAGATCATGGCATTACAGGACTGTGAAGACAATTGTTCAAACAAGAATGCAAAGTATCACTGTTTGACCTCAGCTAGAACCTGTGCCTGGGGAGTCATAGCTTAGTTACAGTAACTATAAAAAGAACTCTCCCTCTTTGAAATAAGGACATAGATTAATGTCTTGTCTTTTGTTGATCACTTTTTATTTTATATACTTTCCATTTATTAAGCATTTACTATAACCTAGTAACTACTAACTTACTGATATATATTACCTTATAAGAAACCATTACATCAAATGGCTATTATATCCTATAATATAGATAATAATCAACTGTATGTTTGTCTTGAGGAATATAGTAGGCTTTTGAAGGAGTAAAGAGTCTTTTTTGCTTCCTGAAAGCCAAAGGCAATTAGTCTATTCTTTCTTGAAAATTAGTTCCTCTAGAAAATACATTAACTCAGAATATTTTAAGTCAGCCCCTCTCCTCACATTATCCTCTTTTTCTGCTTTTTGACCTGCTCTTTCTCTGAGAGCAACCACATAAATCTGCTACTACCTGGACTTTCTCCTAGTCTAAAACTTCCCCAGTGTTCTGGCTCAAGGCTAGCTGTTTAAATGGCTACAACTTAGGGGCAGTAGTCAGTAAAGAATACTGCAGATGACAACCAGGACAGACACGGGGAAGGTTGACAGTTTTAAAGTCACGTTCCTCGGCAGACCAGAGGAAGCAGATCTAGAGGCCCCTGGAGCATAGGAGAAGAGATAGATAGCATTGATACAGAAAGTCAAATCGGGCTGGGTGCTATTAAAACAGGGTGCACAGAAGAGATAAGTATGACTTTAAGCACATTCAAAACCAATACTATTGCTTTTGTCCTCAGGAGGAAACAAGACCATCTGTTGGTAGTTAGGCAGGGAGGAGTTTGGACAGGGGGCTGGAAGCGTGGTAGAGATATGAAATAATGGGTCATGAGAAGAGTAAGCCAGAAGTCTAAGAGCAAGTGCAAAGAGTGCTGAGGAACACTGGACACCAGCTGTGACTGCAAACCAGTCTTTTTGGCCATACCTCTCCACGGTGACTCAGTATTCTCCAGCGAGCCTGCAAGCATCAGTTTCTTTCCTCAGCCCTTCCTCCTTCCCATGTCTTAACCCTAGAACTTTGCCTCCTCTCCTTAGGCGCATAAACACCGTGTTCATCCACCAGAAGTTCTTTGTCAGCATCAAAGCCCTTTCCCTGTTGTCTTGCTGTGGCTTCTACTTTACAATTCACAAAGTTTGGGTCAGTCAGAAGGTGAGTGCTGTGTTTAGTTTGAATCTTAAGGAGCTTCCATTTTTATAGGTCAAACACATTGCGGGAGATCTGATGAGGGATGAAACAAAAAGCAATGACCAATTTCAGGAAAGCAAATGCTTTTGACTTGTTTGAAAGTTTGCGACTGGATGAGAGACCAGGAGGCCGCAGGGTCTAGTTACTAGCAGTTGCTGGGTTAGTCTGCTAGAAGTTTCAGCCTGGAGGAAGGAGCAGTCTCCAGTCTGCTTGAGGCTTCAGCAAAGCCTATGCTATCCTTTCACATTCTAGATTACTTTTTCCTGGATAGGCACAGTACAAAGTTGTCAAGGAAACAAACAAAATTCAAAACAAGAATGATGGGAGCAAAAAGGTTTGGGAGGAGTAGATTAAGAGAGAGGGACGGAAGGAGAGAGAGGGCACACAATGATGTATTAATTAAAACTGGCAAAACTATTGTTGTTTTAATTAGAATTAAAGATGAAATACTAAAACAGCACAAAGTTTCATTGTGTCCTATCACCCACTCTTCTAGATCCAAAGGTGTACTGTGTGAATACCAAGTGTTCAGAAATAACAAAACTTCCGTATTAGTGAAAGTGCTACCATTGAGAAATTAG